ATATTGATAAATGAGTTAGCTTGAAAAACTCAGAATGTTCTCAGTGATAGGAAAATAGTAACTTAAGACTTTTGCTTCTCTTGAAAGTTCCCTGTTGTTTACAAAAAAAAAACACTACATATACGTATATTACATTTACCAAATAATGCAGGCATGTATGTTATTTATTCACTGAAACGTATTTGCTTGCTTAGAATCAGTTCTTCTTAACACCCAGTTTATTCTCAGACCATAATTTATTCGTTCTGAGGAGTGTTTTAGATGTTATTCAGTTCAGAAGGAGATTATACTTAACGGATGTAGACATGTATAAAACGACACAGCTATGTTGAGATCAGAATGTGAACTGTATGCAGCTGTAATTAGCCCAACTTTCCTGACACTTCACTTGTTAATGACAGTATCATTGGCAAGACAGATAAAGATCTTTGCATTTCACAAGGGTGTGTTCAGAAGCTTAGATTCATTCCATTGTTTATGTTTTAACCTTATGTCATCAGGTAAGTGCTTGTTACCATGACGGTTTCAGAGCAACTGCTGTCTGCACACCGGGAGGACCCAGAGCGGCTGAAAAGGAGAGGTGGACAGGTGGACAGCTGAAAGAAAGTATTTTGAAAGGTTTGTCTATGAGACAAAAAAATGGACTCTCTAGTCTAACTAAATTCAAGGCATGTTAGTAATCAAATTCTTTAACAAGAATCATTATTACGATCACTTAACATTTCCCCCTGAGTATTAATACATTTGTTCAGTACATTTTATGTTGTGGCAGGTTCTGATACAAATGAGTCTTGCATCAGCAACTTTACAGTTTAGCTTGCACAGATATCTAGAAACAAGTATTGGAAAAGTTTCTTGGATGCTAAATTCTACTAGAAACCTATGCTTTTTTTTCCTCTCTTACCCTGAAGAGTATGTTCAGAAAGTTAACATAATGCATACGGGCAACAGAATCAGAAGTCACAGATTCTTTGACAGGTCATATGGTACCTTCAACCATTTGGTGTCTGGAGAGCATTTATAGTTTGTCCCAGAAAATTTTCTTTTCTTTAAAAAATCCAGAGAAAGAAATTTCATAATAGCTCTATAGCCAAATTTAATTAACAACGTTTATGAAAGTTCTGATGCTTGAATCAAATCTTTTACATTCTATCTGCAGTGCTGATGCTTCCTACCATGTCCTGTATTTAAACCATGTTGTTGAGTTACTCAAGAGAATCTGCGTTAAAGATTCAAGCCCTTATTAATTAAAATGAGTAAGTGCTGGTGAGACACAGGAATAAACAAATTAGTGCTAATCCTTTTTTCACAGGGAGGGACTCATAGCAAATCATTTTATCCTTTATCAACAATGATGATCATGAAATATTTAAAAGTAGAAAAAATAAACAGGAAAATGAATGAAAATTGTGCACAATCCCATCATTCAATGTAGAATCAAAGTATTTTTAAATTAAAGACAACTATAATATGAATTTTTAAGACTATCCAGATTATTAATTAATCCTCTCTTTCCACTAACATTTGAGTCCTTTACTACATACCAATCACTTCTGGGCTTTGGGTGTATACTTGTGTGCAAGACAGACCAAAAGCTTTAGTATGCGGATAGACATTAAACTAATAACCCGCAAAGAATTGAAAAGTGATTTGAAGAAATATTAAAGAGTGTTATGTAAAAGAATAATAATGGAACATAATTTAAATTTAGCAGTTAAAGAAGACTTTATTAGGGGATACTTGAACAAAGAAACCTGAAAGAGGAATACTTTCTTAGGCACTTAAATAAAATAAAAGCAATGAAAACATACCTGATACAACATTCAGTAAATATCGTTCAATGAATGAATGCTATTCTAAAAGTCAGGAAACAAAGCAAACATTAAAACAGAAAGCATTCAAACAACGTCTCAAAAGTTGTCAAAATCATAGCTGCGCTAATAAACACAAATGCTACAAACTGCCCCATTAGAGGATGAATTCAACAGATCTTCATATTTATCCAGCTGATAAAAAAGAACAGAGTATTAGAACATAATATAACAGTGTTGAATTAATAGCTGCAGAGAGAACATTTTTCCCCACAAGACAAGTCTGCACCTTATTTCCAAGCATCCTCAAGGCTACTTTAATCCATTTCAGAAAGTAGAAATTTTGCAGACCACATTCTTTGACCATATGTAATACAACAGATGAGCAATTAAACTTTAAGCAACAAAAAACCCCCCAAAACTCGAGTCCCTCAGAAATATAAAAAATACTTGTACATATAATTATTGGATCAAAGAGGAAATCTTCAATTTCAGACGGTTTAGAGAATAAGGACACTGAGGCTGTAAGATATCAAATGTTTGATGTGAAGCTGAAGCTGTATTCGGGAGTGACCTGATGGCCTTAAATGCCCCTAGATTGCCCTCCTTTCACTGTAATTGTTATTGGTGTCCAAAATGAGTGACCTCCATTAGGGGCCGAAACTAAGGGATTCTTGGCATTGACCTACCATAAATTCATGAATATTTTTTAATTGCATTTACTTTGCTGTAGAACTTGTCTCCTGTTTGAAGAAGCTGGCTTGGAAGGCTATAGTGAGGTTCATGTTCAGACTTCAGGATCTGAAGAAACATATGGAGCACAAGCTAAAGCAGATTTAAATGGAGTAAGTAGAACAGGGGATTTCTTATTCCAGTGTAAATGAATGGGTTGAAATACTCTCAATAAATTATGTATGAAAGTGTTTATTGTAAAGACCAACCTGGCTAAGGTTTAATGGATAATGAATTTGGGGTTATTTCTGTTTTACAGTGTGTATTTTTTAAAAAAAATCTATAGTTCTTTAACAAGCTTATAATTCAGTTTGAATTTTCTATTTGCCTATGGCAAAACTCACCTCAATTCCATTCCCTTCCTTTCTTGTTCCACCTTTAATATTTGACTTGTGTTTAGGCTCTTGGGTGTCATATATATGGTTTTCTTCAAAAGTTTTTAGAGAGCTACAAATTTAAAATGTTAACTTCTAACTTGGTCTTAATATATGTTGTTTGTTCTTCAGCAGTAAAAACAGAAGAAATATTTTTTCCATTCTTGCTGGAAAATTTCTCACTATTGACTAGAAAAGGGATCAGTGATTCAGAATTAAGTTTTTATTTACATTTAAAAATTTAACATATAAATCATGTCAAAATCTATTGTAACTGCCCATTATAAATCAATTTTATTAATCTAATTTAACTGAAGGTATGTTGGGATTATTTTTTAAACAGCCAAATTAAATAAAATGATGTATGATCAATGTCTTATTAAATTATAGGTAATTAACTTGACCTTATCTAGGTAGTTTTTTCTGTTATCTCTGTATTTATTCCTAGCAGCATTATTACAGATATGTCTTGTATAAACTTTCTGTTCACATCTTTAACCCTTTTTAAAGACTTTTTTAAAACAACTTTATTGTGGTATAATTTCTGTACAGTAAATTACACATATCCCAGACATACAATTTGATGAATTTTGATAGATGTATGTATACACCTATGAAACTGCCACCACAATCAAGATACCTAACAATTCCATCACTCCTCAAGAGGTGCAATTTTCAAACTCCCAATTTATCCCTTCCCATCCCCTTTACTCCCTGGTAAACAAAAGTTTTTTCTCTATATCCGTGAGTCTGTTTCTGTTTTGTAAATAAATTTATTTGTGTCTTTTTTTTTTGATTCCACAAATAAGTGATATCCCATGATGTTTTTCTTTCTTTTTGTGGCTTACTTCTCTTAGAATGATGATCTCCAGGTCCATTCATGTTGCTGCAAATGGCATTATTTTATTCTTTTTTATGGCTGAGTAGTATTCCATTGTATAAATATACCACAACTTCTTTATCCAGTCATCTGTCGATGGACATTTAGGTTGTTTCCATGTCTTGTCTATTGTCTTTTAAAAGATTTTTTAACCCAACAGTCATATTCACAATGGTCTGACCATCTTATCTATTCTGGAGTATTTGTAGATATTCTGGTTTATAGTGATTGCTTTCACTTAAGTGTTAATCAAAGATGGGAAAATGTATGGGAAACAGCAGTGACAACTGGAGCGGTAACAGTTAACATGAATTGAGGGGTTAATAAGTGTCAGGCACTGTTCTAAGTGCTTTACTGGTGTTGACCTTTAGCTGTCACAGCAATCTTCCAGGCAGGTCTGTTAGTACTTCTATTTTATAAATGAGCAAACTCAGGCACAGAGAGGTTGAATAAATTGTCTAATGTCCAACAGCTCCTGAGGAGCAAGACCAGATTTTATATCCATTACAGTCTAGTTCTAATATCTGCATTATTAACCACTAGGAGCAAGAGTGTCATTTTAGTGCAGTGAATTAAAAAGATCTAACACCTTTGTAACTGAATTAGTAAGGCTTGAATGACATAAAAAGATAATTCATTATATTTTAGAAGAGAAAAATTATATTGTTATTTATAGTCCTAGGTATATTAAAGTAAATAACTCAAAGGTCTATGTTCAAAATTTTATTGAGATTCTTTTCCATTTATGAATTTCTTCTTTTCTATAAAATAGTAAGTAAGCTCAACAAGATATTGACTAAATATTTTATTTTGATAACAGGTTTGTGGAGAAGGAATTGTTGGTTCCATAATTTTTTCAGTCTGTTATTCATTTCATTTTATAGAGCCCCCAAAATGCCAAGAACTTCTGTGTTTTATTTTGTACAACTAGTGTGTGGTAAGGTCAGGATATAAACTAGAGGCCTTTTAAAATTATATAGGAAATTTTAGATGCTTGATAAAACCCAGAAACAGGAACCAGGTGTCAAAGTGTAGATATTTAACTGTTCATAGAAATGTGTGCTCTATTGCCAGGTGGCTTAATCACCATATTTACTCCAACTGAATTAGAACTCATGAATGTAGAACTTAAAATGAAAGGTTACTGTGAAAGTCAACTTTTGATTTGTTGTTTGGAAGGTATGTTTTATTAAAAGATGCTGGAAAGCAATACCTCTGCCTTTTTTTCTTGCTGTGCCTATGAACCTCAGTAGAGTCAGATAATTAAATTGTCAAGTCGATGCATTAAGTTGGTTTTAGACAGATTGACAGTAAACATAGTAGGAAAAGTAGACATTTACTTTAATTATTGGTCTTATTAAAAATAA